ATGCTTGTTAATCAATATAATAATCATTTATTTCTATTTTTGCGTACACAATAATGTCCATTAATTTTAAAAAGTTAGTCTATATTTTAACAAAAAAGTTGCACAAAGTTCATGTAAAAATTTTAATAATTTCTGTAAGTTAAAATGCTTGTCAATCAATTGTGTCCAAACTTAAATTATAGAAGTTAATTACTATATCAAAATAGTTGTCAGTTTTACATTATTGAACAAATATTTCCGTCATTTAGGACACATGAAAATAACTTTAAACAAAAATCGCACTATGCATAGGCGACATTTGTATATTAATGTTAAATTTCAGAACTAAAACGTGTAAATATTTACAATGATTTAACGTGACACCCAAATAGAAGCACGCGTTACAAGTCGATCGATGCTAAGCGGTTTACCTTTGAGCGAAACGCGCGTAATCCGCACGGAAGCAAGTGCAGTTGACGCGGTTTTAGCCGCGACTGCGGTTTCTGGGGCTTATGCCGCGATAGAGGATCGGTGATGCAACAACCACTGGCGATTGGCCTACACCTGCCGACAAGCCCCTGACAACTGGGTGCTAAACATAATCGCAATGGCCACAGTTTATGTAAGTAGAGCGGACCCATAAATTAACCGAAAACCCGATTAACTTGTATAGAATTTGTTTACGGAGCTGCCTAGATGTACCTATAATCAGCAAACGGACCGACTGTTCAGATCTTTCTATAGGCATATAGCTCTGCTCTGCTGCCTTGGCAAAATTTCAACGGAACAACGGAGGCGACAAAAGTCGCGTGCTCTGATGAAATTTTCAAATCTCTGCTATTTGGCCTTTATTATAGTTCGCTGATCGGTATATAGTTTTCCGCATTTTTTTATTTTCGCCCAACTTGCGTCAGCCGGTGCGTTTTTCGCGCGTTTTGCTAGCGATTTCACGTTCTTGGCACAATTAGCATAGCCTTGTGATTTTTTGCGGGGGAGGAATCCCCCCAGTAACACCTCAAAAACATCGAAAAGCTCTCGATTTTAATATTCAAGAAATATGTTATTTTTTTACTTTTGATTTCTCAACTCTATGCTAATTTCCGATTGATATTCGAGCTTTGCCTCGATTTCTAAACACTTTTTCACGTGTTTTCAACGCAGGCGCTCTTTTTTCTCGCTCTTCGCACATTCTACCATATGTTTTTTGTTTTGGGAAATTTCAGACTCGAAAAGCTTTCGCATGTTTTGGGGCGTTTTTACCTCCACTCACTTCTTCGTGTGCGTTTTATTTTTATTTATAGTAGAGGGGCAAAAGCTTGTTTCGTGGCTACAATTTCAGCTGAACTTGTTATCAGTCAGTGTAATAGGGGTAATCATATATTAGCCCGACAGTTTATGACAGCCACTTGAACAATTAATATGCCAAAATCTAATCGAACATGAGCCACTTGAGCGGGGGATTTCTCTCAAAAGCTTAACCTTACAAAAAAAAGGTTAAAAACCGAATGGTTGAGTCACGTGAGACAGAAACCTTTTGCAACATGTGGCATTCAGTTTGTAGAGCTTACGCGACAATAAAAACAAACATGAGTGGGCTGTTTACTTGAAATTTTTGATTACTTTTCTGGGAAATGACATCATTAATATAAAATACTAGCGATAAATAGACTTGATTTATTATAAATAACATCATTAATATAAAACACTAGCGATAAATGAACTTGATTTATTATAAATTTAAACCTATTTTTTGCATACCCCTCCCTCAAATTGGATGTTCCTAGGCCACTTCTCAATTGTTAACCCACCCAGGTGCTTGCCCGTCTACCTTTCTATAGTCGATTTCCTTGTACCCCTGAAAATTGCATAAACAAAAATGCGCAAAAGACATGCAAATGTCCGATGACAACAGCACCGACCTTCAGACCCCCCGAAAAAGTCAAAGCTCAGACACGTGTAAATACAGTCGGAAAAATGGGAAATAGACATTTCCATTTTCGGCACCGCTTTAACTATATAGGATTTGATTGGGTTAATTACATTTTGCATGTGATCATCCGGACTTTGGGGCTCGAAGGGGGTAAGCAGCATTGGCACCGACATTTTGCCTCTGTTTTGGGCCTCTTCGGTTGGGGGAATAGCACTAATAAGTTAGGTAGTTGTAGGTTGCTTTGGTGCGGGGACCAACGAATATCAAGAAAATTCAACTTGTATCACAGTTAATTGCTTGCACTATGCGGCGTATGCGCAATGTTTAAGTTTCTCCAGCTAGGCCAGCATTTTGTACTTGGTTTTTGGTTACTGTTTGTTTGTTTGTTTGTTTTTTTATTTGTTTGCTTTGATTGATTATTTATTTGCTTGAGTTTTGAGTTATATTTTGTATGTATCCTTTGGTGGGGAACTAGGACGCTGTGGACGGTCCGTCGTCACAATTCGACGTTGCAGTCGCAACTGTTTAAGGCGCTTTTGTTGTGCGCGCAATTTAAACGATTTCTTTTTATCGAAAATGAGTGTGGCGGAGCTTTTGCGCCACTGCCACTGCCCGGTTTTCTTTGTGTGAGAGACGTAGTCATATTCGCTTTCGTATTCGTAGTATCCGACGTCGTTGGCGATTTGTTTTGGTTTTCAGCCCGGCGGTACAGTTGCGGCATGGGCTTTTTCGAAATGTTGTTGGCCTCTACCGACGGGCAGCAACGTCGAAACAGAAAACACAGAGAAACTCACAAGATAGTACAGAAAACACAAAGATTAATCGAATTAGCCATGCCCTCGATCGAACAGAATCAGGACAGGAGAGCAAAGCAAGTTGCCGATTAATCAGCGAAAAATAATAATCAACTACAAAGGTCTGAATAAAAAATGTTCATCGCCTAACTGTTTATAAGTGAGCCTAATCAGGTGGAAATAATAGATCCATTAAAGATAGCATGTTCTGACTTATCTTCAGTTCTTTTGGATCTTTGATAGGGAAGTATATATAGTTGTTTGTGCCATATAAAGTAAGATTTTTAGAAAATTTTAGAAAACAATTTTACCAAAAATTGTTTTATATCAAATAATTTGTAGAACTTTACTTTACTTAACTTTAGTCTAGGAAAATGCTTTTTGCTTTTTTCAATAGTTGTTTGTGTATATGTTTATAATAGTAAAAGCAAGCTGAATACCAAATTTCACATCTCAAGCCCAAATAAATCCCAAGTTACACAAGGTTATTCTTCATATATACCCTCTTTTAAAGGGTATCCCACTAAAACTCCTCATAAAACGCGCTATAGTTTTGTGTGGCTGAGCGAAACACGCAATCCAAAAGCTCACACAGCCTGAGCGGAGATGACAACAAGAGCAACTCATTGGAGACCATCCATCGCCTTAAACACTATAGTATATGTATGTGCTACCCACTGTACCACGAGGCTCATTTGCTCCGCCGCGAAAACGTGTTGGTCGTGTGCAGCTGTCGGCAGCGATGGTGTTTCGCACGTGAAATGGTTTTCTGTGTGTTTTTGTGGGGCGTAGTCGGTGCCGGGCCCCTCGTCACGAATTCTCGTCCACCGATGCTCAATGGAATCGGCTGAAAAGCTCTCACTGGTAGTACGACTATATGTTGCTCTATGGGGAAACCGGTTTCCGTCGGTTGTGGATATGTTGTTTTCCTTGTTGTTTGTTTACACCGCACAATATTTTATTTCGACGTTTGATAAGACAAGAACTATTTAAGCTTTTTGGCTTCGAAAACAAAGCTCTCCGGTCAAGGTCTTGAGTAGCCCATTTCGATCGTAATCGCTTAATTTTTTGATGTTGCTAGGCGCTTTTTTGGTGCCTTACAAGAAAGTATAAATATATAAACAAATTATCATTCGCTTGTGTTTTTCTTTGTTTAAATGTCCCCTCATTTCATCATTGTTTTAATTTATAATATTTGAGGCACGCATTGCTTTCTTATTGACTGCACATGCTACAAATTTGAGTTTTTATTATTTCTATAATCATTTTGCTGTGTAGACAAATCGACCCACGGGTTCCAAAGTCCAATTCATTTGTTATTCTTGTTTATTTCTTTAAATGTTTGCGAAAGCTTTTTTTGTTGCTTAGTATAGATATGCTATTGACACGCCCCCCTTCTAGGAAGTCAAGTCGCATTAATATTCAGATTTGTTTTTCTCTGTTGTTCTTCAACCCGATTTTAGTCACGTTTGCTTGTTGTTTTCTTGTACAAAACAATAATAATTTTGTGATATTTTATGGTATTTTTGTTTACGCTTACAGCTGTGTGTTGTTTACATCACACGAACTTTTCTTGTTAAGAACATGTAATCGGAAAAGCAAAAAAAGGCAGAAGCAAATGTCTACCTAAGATTAGCTTGGGTAAACACATTTAATTGAGAAATAACTGAACGAACAGCACTAGTATACCTATTACATTGATCAACTTACAGGATTATATTTCGTTAATGAAAAATATACTTTAATAAGATATTTAATTACTCTTTTGCCAATGAAACTTGTTCCACTTTTAAAAACATATGATAGTTATGTTTACTAAATTTTAAGAAAGTAAACTACAACTAATTTATAAAGCATCATTTGTTTGAACTTAGTTTTCAATCATTTAATATAAACCAGTTGATACGTCAATACCAACGTTATTCTTAACCAACTTTTCTACTTTTAAACAAAAGAACATATGTTTAGGCTGTGAAGCTCGTACCTGGTCGGACATGATCAGTGATCGTTGTCAGGGTCGTTGTTCACCGATTTGCCCTTGAAGGGGCCGTTGGACTTGATAGCGCTTGCTACACCTTTAAGATCACAAAACCTCCACCGATCGGCGATTCTTATCACACACACAGACGTCTCCAGAGGCCGGAATAAAACTGATGGTGGCGAGCTTAACGGGGCTTCCAACTTAGAGTCCTCTACTAAATAGGAAGTCGCTTTTGTCACGTTTGCCGCTTCCTCCCCGTCGCACAGCGTAAATACAATTAAATCAATTTAAAATAATAAAAGTCGTAGCAGCAGCCGCCACAAAGAGAGACAATGATAGATGCCAGCTTCGCTGTGCTATAGGTTTGCTGTAGATAAGGGGTAATGAGGCATCTGGGTGGTGTTTGGCGTCTGAGCGAATCGCGGTTGACCTGAAAGATTCACAGATTGTAGAAATGTGCAAGAGATTGCAGCGAAAAGCAAACTGTACCCGAAGCAACAGACACGTCACGTTGCGGATGCGGGGTTCTCCTCGCTTGTAGCTTCTGCGGTTGCCTCAGACTTTGACTCGGCAGCCTCTTCCTCTGGCGGCGTCTTCTCATCACCAGCATCATCAGCAGCCACCTTTGTCTTGGGCTCACGCTCGAACAGAATGACCAGCTCGGTGTGCGTGGTGTGGGGAAACATGTCAACGGCCAGCGCGGACTTCGGATAGAACGGTTCCCCCTTATATTGCTTAGACTCCGGCCGGGCCAGCTCAATGAAGTTCCGCTTGGCACTGTGCGGATTGCAGGAGACGTACACCAGACGATTGATGGCATCAGCCGAACGAATTGCGGCTATCGAGCGGTGATCTGTAATCAGGAAGGTGAATACAAAGTTATATTAATAATATTAATTGGTATAGCGTTTATTAACGTTCAGTTAATAATCAAGTAAGATTTGCTTGGTGAAAGTCTAATTTAATCAGATCTATACTTCTAGCTCACAGAGTTTAACAACTCTTTATCGCTTGAAAATAACAAAAACTGTTCTATAACTATTAGTAATTGAGATATTTCTTTATATATATACTTATATATATATATACTTATAGTTTAATGACGGTCAGTGAAGACTTGTTAGTTATTATATGATAATCACCAATCAATCAATTTAGTCCGCAGAATTAAAAAGTTAAACATAATTTGTATTTTCATTCATATAGACCGTACTTCTTAATGATGTTTTTAGTTTAATGATAGGTAATTAGTTGTCAACTTATCTTAATTTCCAGTGTTGTTACCTTTTAATCGCTGTAAAAGAACACCAGCTGATTTACTTGAATTTATTGGTGATCATTTGTTTGCTTTATAAAAACAGTCAAATTGAGTTTTTATTCCTATTTTATGGACAGTTATCTTGATAATTCCAACGTATTTAAATAACATTTGTTTGATAAAGGTTAATGAGTAGTCAATTATAATTGTTGCTATCCATCATAATGGATACATTTTTGACATATTCTGAGCCCCCAAACTTTTGATTAAGATATTTCTTGAACTTACGCAATCCAGCTCTAGGTGGGTCCACGACTGCAATAAGATCCATGGGTTTTCCCGGTTCCTGTTCGTAAAGTGCTTCGCGCACCATGCTCTTGATGAAATCATCTGCATTTCCGGTGAAGAACTTGCAGTTCTTGATGTCATTGGCCTGCGCATTGAACTCAGCATCCTTAATGGCATCGGGCACGATTTCCACGCCCATTACCTTTTTACAATGCTTGGCGAAGGCGAGGGTAATGGTTCCAGTGCCACAGCAGATATCCAGCATGGTGGTGTCCTTCGTGGGAGCCACCAAGTCAATGGCCTTCTGATACAAAACATTAGCTCCGCCCGTGTTGATTTGGAAAAAGGCCAGGGGGCTAATACGAAACTGGAGACCCTGAATGGTGTCGGTGATGTGTGTGCTGCCCGAGATGTGCTCCACCGGATTGATCATCTGTCCTGCCTCGCGATGTTTGACATCTTGGTAATAGAGAGATGTGCATTTGTAGGCTGCATCCTCTTCAACCTCTTCGTAGAATGACTTGAGCTCCTGTTTCAGTTCGATTTGCTCCTCTTGGCTTAAATTTGATGAGTAAATTCCGGGCACCAGCATGAGTTCACCTGTGGCACTGGAACAGCGCACCATCAGTTGCCGGAAATGACCCACATTTCCGTCTGGATTGAAGGGCAGAAACTTGGACTTCCTCACGAGTTCTTGGAAACTGCGAGCTGCCCATTTGGCCTGCTCTGGCAGGTGTGGCAAATCCTGGACTTCGGCCACCTCCACGGATCCATCGGCATAGCAGCCCAATCGGAAGCCTACGACCACTTCTCCTGCGGCATTCTTGCCCACAGTAAACTCGTTCTTGTTTCTATAGCCATTTACAGTGGGTGAGGGCAGTACGCCTTCGAATTTGAATTTATCCAGATGCGGTTTGGCCCGCGGATTAAGGCGCCTCAGTTCCTGGGTGTATTTGGCCAGAAGTGCGGACATTTCCTCGGATTTCTGCTGGAGTTGCTGGTCATAGGGAATGTGCGACAGTGGACAGGTGGCTTCCACAGCCGTACGCTGCTTTTTGGGCTTCCTCTCCGACTCCTGATCCTCGGCAGCTCGTTTTTTCTGGAGCGGATCGGCGGAGGCTTTGGCGGCCTGGGCCTTCAGTACCTTTCCCTTCCATTTGTAGCCATGCAGGGTCTCCAGGGCCCGCTGCTGATCCTCCTGAGTGCGAAAACAAACGAAGGCAAACTCTTTGCGCGTCGGCGACTTGATTTTGGTCACGTCCAATTTGAGTGTGATTCTCAACAGCTTCTTGAACTCCTGGAAAAGTGTATAATTGAAAATTTTAAATGAATTTAGGCCAGGCCTCAAGTTACCTACCCCAATACCGAAATAGCCCAGGTTTTTCACTTCTATCTTGTATATTTCCGAGGTAAACTCATTACGCTCCAAATATGCGAACTCCTCGCCGGCTTTTTCAGTTTCCACCTTGGCATTTTCAGGTGAAGTTTCCTTTACATCTTCCTTGATTTCCTTGACCTCTGTAGGTTTATCCACTGTTTCAGCTGGTATTTCCCCGCTTACACACTCCATATCTTTTAAATATTTAGTTTTTTTAGGTAAAATTTAAAAACACGTGAAATGCCAAATCAAACAGCTGGATAATATCGATTTTTCTATCGACTAATCGAATATATTTATTATTATAAACAGTCCACAATAATGCAGCACTGTCATTTTTTGGTAGATTTTAAATTTACAAGTCGTGCAAGCAGTCAGAAGCTGCTTGCTACAATACCATTTTGGCGCGAACTTAAAAGCTGATAATAACAAATACAAAACAAATACTCCAAATCAAAACTATTTAGTTAATAAATAATAATAAAAAATTTAAATATTTTTAATTTTCAACTTGTTCAAAGCGTTCTAGGGCAGAATTCAAAATGACTTGGCGTTCTAGCAGCAACTGTTGCATTTCCGGTTCGTGTTTCATGATGTTACGGATTTCCCTAAGCATTTCCGCTGCGTTCCTGAGCTTTTCCTCGCACTCCACTGGGTCTTCTGAGCGCAGAGCCTGTGCCACAAGAGCTTCTTCCATGTCTATGAGTAGATTACCTCGGAAAATACTCCAGCCACCATCGAAAATGTTGGCCAGTTCTAGGAGTTCCTCACAAAGTTGCACCTTTCGCGTGAGCGATTCTTCAGAGAGTTCTAAAATAGAGTAAAATTTGAAATACTACATATTAACATCCCTGATTTAATTATATTACCCTCCATGGCAAATCCTGGAGCACTGCCATATAATTGTGTAAGAGCATATTTGGCTTGAAGAATATGGGTATTGGTGTCATGAAGATCGGCACGATGGCGATATATGAACTCCTCGAGTGCTACGGGTGTACTCTTGTCCAACGATTCCAATTCCTGCTGAAGCTCCGCATCCGAAGTGACCACCTCTTTTGCTGATCTTTTCAGATTGCAAAGCTGACACTTCCAAACGGCAGAATTTTGCAGGGGATTCAAGGAGATGATCTACAAAATAAGGAAGATAGGGTATTTTTATAAAATAAAAGAAAATTAAGTTATTCAAATTTTGGAAAAAGAATCAAAAAATATATATAAAAAATTTAATTAAAGGTTTTATTGTTAATGATATAATTTTATTTAGTTCTTTCATTTCTATATAAATTTCCCTTTATGTATTTATTTAGATTGTAGATTGCTTCATAGTATTTTTGAGTACAAGCATTTAATCCTTAAGGGCACACATTTTGTTGTCCTTTGTGCAAATATAAACACACAAAACAGAATTTTCTGTCCACTCACCTTCCCTGCCTTGCATTTGAGACACGTTTGAGCCCCTGCAAAGCTGCCCAGTTCCTCGGGATCCTGACACCTGGCGCAGGAGCAGTCGAAGCACTTGGCCTGTCTTAAATGCATCCTGCGCTGGATGGTGCTCCTCAGAGGCTGGGTGTAGGAAATACTCAGGATCTCGCCCTTGGCAATCTTCCGCTTGGCCAGGAACACAATGTTCATGTCCTCATCAAAGCGATGCCTCATATTGGGCACACAGTCGTGCGAGATCATGGCGGCCCCGGGGAAGAGGGCTCTCACCTTTCTTCGCTCCCTGGGTTGCCTCACTTCGAAGGTGTTTGTGTCCAGAATGGCAGCAATGCGTAGGATGTCCATTTCGGACCAGTCCCGCAGGCCCAATACGGTTTTTATAAAGGTAATGAGATTGGCACGTAGCACTTGATACAGTGGGGTCTCCAAGCGCTCCTTGAGGTGATCTTCTAAGGAGTAAAGTTTGAGAAAGGCCTCGGGATCCCTGCTTTTTAGTTGCATGCAACGGAGCAGCATAATCACACAATAAGCCGACTCCTTTCGCTCCTCCTCTCCAGGGGTATAATTTATTTTCGATTGGAAATTACTGCTCGACATGAGTTGGCACTCAGCTTTGTGGTGCGGAGAATTCTCGCACCCCTTTCCGCACAAAGGCCAACTGCAGGAGCTGCACTTATAGTAGTTTCCTTGGGGTTTCTCCGGAGCCAGCAGATTTCGGTGGCAGCCCAAGCAAAGTGGCGCAGAGGCCACTTTGGGGCCCACAACCAAGGGAGCCTCCTTTAGGATTTGCTCTCCGATTTTAATGTCCCGCGTGGCCTTTAGATGCCGGCCCAATATCTCGTTGCTGGCTATTTCGAAGCACTTGCATTCCGATCTGTGACCTTTCTTCCAATGCTCCTTCTGGTGCTCCCGACTGCAATAGACCACACTCCTGCAGGCGGCGCACAACTGGGAGGCTTTGGCCTGGCACAAGGCGCAGGATGTCAGTGAACTTGGTTCCATCGATAGCAATCTCCAATAAATCCTCTCTATATATGTACTACTTATATCTCCAACTAATCTCCCTGTGTTTGCGTAATGCCCCGCGGTTGAAAATTCACTGACGAGATGGCCAAACAATTTTCAGTGCTCTGTCTTCGGACTCTACTCGCGATCTGCTGATTGCGAGAACATTTTCCTTTGTGTCTCCGTCTGCTGCCAAAAAAAAAATAAACGCTCGAGCGGATTCGGATCGCTCTCCACATCCAAATCTCTGTCACATGGCGCACGACTATTTAAAATTAGAACTCTGTGTCGTGTTGCCTAAAAGCCAAGACAATGTCCAATTTGTAGGCAGCCGGCAATATTTATTCATGTTTATCTGCATCTATAGAACAATAAGAGAGTGAGTTTGTGAAGCATAGAGCTTTTTATTTCTGAACATTAATCGATCTATTCTCAGCTTAGGTTGACTGGAAAGATTATTGAATTTGGCAACTACATACTCAATTTTAACTTACCTGTTCGAAAATTAAGTTGAAAAAGAACAAATATAATATTGTTATCAGGCATACTTATTGTCGAAGAGAAAGCATTTATACTTGGAAATAGTATTTAAAGCTTGTATTTATAATAAATGAATGCTTTGACTTCTTACCAACAAGACTATAGGCGTACTTAACTACCCATTGCCTTTAGCTGTCTGTTTTGAATAAAAACTCATCCAATAAATTTCATTTTAGCAATTCAATAATTTATTTAGTATTTCTCATAAATTGTCTATATATATTTGTATATATTTTTTTATTCATATGCAATTAATTAATATATTGTTTAATTGGAAATCAGTCTTTTTTATGTAAATAAGAGTTAAATGCATTTTGTTTTTGTGCTTGTTTCGTTTGATTTGTTTGATTGATTGATAGATTGGATTCGTAACTCGATTGGTTGACAGATGATGAAATTGAAAACAAGTTTTAAAATAATAATTGAACTACAATTTGTGCTTTTGTTTTTCGTATATGTTGTTGTGGTTTAGTACTTAGTTGCATTGTTGCTTGTCTTGTTTGGGTTTAGTGTTAGAAACTAAAAATAGTATTTAAATTAATTGGCTTAGATAACATAAATATACACGATCGATAGTTAACTTAAAACTGGCGGCCCCATTGCACCACTGTAATCTGTAATTTGTTGCCCTCTCTGTCCAAAAAACACTTAAAAAGCGGCGCATAAAATTTTATATCATAGACAACAATTTGATTCAATAATTTGCACTAAACAATAGTTTTTTTTCCTCCCATTTAGTTTACACTGTTTCTGATAGTGATATGTTGCTAGTTGATTAGATTAGCGAAGCGGCGATTCAAATGTTGCTAAGGCAAAAGGCGCATAATTTATGTTTTCATTTCGATTTCTGCGTAAGCTATAGTGGCTACATATATGCTGGGATCAGTGGGTTAAATCTTCCTAGAGTTCAATGTTTGGTTCTGAAGATTTTCCCTAGAAAAGTTGGAATAGTGAGTTTGGAATGGATAAAAAATTAAATGTGGTTCTCTTATATATTTTTACAAAGTCAGGAACTTTAAACTATTGTTTGTTAACTGTTTAATTTAATGTTGAGCTATTATTTAGATGTTTAACTGTTTTCATAAATTTTTGGGTTCAACAGTATTTTAAAATTATATTAGCTTTGTAATACAAAAAAAGTTTAAATATTATTTTAAAGTTCAAATAACTTCGAAATAAAAAAAGTGAAATGATTTTTACTAACAACATACTTTAAATATATATTTTTTAAAATATTCTGAACCATTTCCAAACTCACTTTTCCCACCCCACTTCTTGTGGCCCTAATATCGTTTTCGAATATTTTCTGGGTTTTTTTAGTTGATGAATGCTTACTTTTAAATTACAATTCGCGCTACATTAATCAATAGACTGAAACATAAGCAACATTCAAGTAGTTTATAGTGGTCTTAGCCTAGACATCCTGCTGCTCCTTGAAGTGGTGATAGTGGTGGTGGATGTGCTCGTGCACATAGCGGTGGATCATGGAGCTGGAAGCACTGGTGTCCAGTTCCAGTTCCTCCGCAGCCTCCACATTCGACTTGCCACCCTCTGTCACGGCCTCGGCCACCGCCTCGCCCACATCATCGTTCAGATCGATGAGGGTGTCGGTGCTGACCACCTTACTCGGCGTACTGGTCAACTGCGGACTGGGGGGCAGGTCCTCCTCCTCGCTGGCCAGCAGGTGGGCACACTCCAGGGCATCGCCGTAGATCTTGGAGCCCGCCGAACTGGAGTTCGAGGTGGGCGGTCGCTGCTCCATCCGACCATTATCCTTCTGCTGATCCTGCATCCTGATCTGGTGCTGCTGCTTGTGCCGTTGGCGACGCTGCTCCCGATCCTTCTGCTGCAACTGCTCACTCAACTTGGCGTAGATGAGGTTGCCATAGTTCTTGTACTCCTTCTTCTTCTCGCTCTTCTTGGGTATCGGCTGCACCGTGGCCACATTGCTGGGCGTGGCCGGGGGCGAGTGGGCGGCCGCCCCGCCCCCACAGATGGTGGCATGCAGAAAGGAGTCGTAGCCACACAGATTCAACTTGTTGTGGGCCGTATTGTGTGTCTGCTGGGCGGCCAAAACGGCCGGATTAATGGCCAGCTGCTGGTGGTAGATGGGTATGTGTGGTTGGGGATGCTCGTGGTGGTTGTGATTGTGGTGCTGCTGCTGTGGCTGCTGCTGCTGCTGCTGTTGTTGACCGTTGACCTCGATGACCGGTGGAGCCACTGGAATGCAGGAGGTGCTGCAGTCCGCTGTGGGTGGACTGCTGCTGAGCGGCGATTGCAGGGCGACCGGACTGTGGTTGGCTATTAATGTGGGTATTTTCGAGCCCGTATTGCAGCGTTGGCGTTGCTGTTGTTGTTGTTGTTGTGCTGCCGGTTGCCGTATGGGACTCACATTGGCTTGGGGTTTTCTGCAAAATTCCAACAGAATATGCCTTCAATTAGTCTATGTTTCATAGGGTTTTGGTGGAGATTTTGTAAGGGATTTTAAGGAAGTTTGGGAGTCGCCAAAAAGTTAAAAATCAAAAGGTAAACTAATGAACACAAAAATAAAAGGAAAGAAACATTTACTAATTCTTAGATTATTTCATTATAGCTTACATTTGTAAAACATTTATTGTAAGTTTGACAAGAAAACTAAAATATAAAATATTTGAATGTTGAAAATATTTAATCCAAGTTTATTTTGATGTTTAATTTATCAAGCATTTGGCATCCACGTAATTAAATGTTTCTGTTAAATTTTAAACAAAAAATAAAGTGTTATATATTTAATACCAATTTTATTTTGATGTGTAATTTGTAAAGCATTAAATTAGCAATTTTTGAATAAAATAAGTTTGCCCATAATAATGGAATTATAAAAAAAATGATTAAAAATAACCTTGAATAATAAATAATGCGCATTTTGCTCTTTTCGAGTTAAATCTGTTTAAGCCAACATTAAGCTAGTCTAATTTTCCGTATGCAATGATTTTTGAAAAATTGACTGATTTTCCTTTTGCAATTTCTGTTTTGGGAAATGCCAAACCGCTGCCATGAGCACTTTGTGGACTTTTCTAGCCTCATTTCAGTTCACTCCGCTGCTAATCATTGTGGACTTGGGGTGGATTCATCGCGAATTGGCTTACCCATTCAGCTGAAAACACAGGCGATTCTTTTCCATGCTCTCCCTGATGATGCTAATTAAATCGTTGCGATTTAGCGCCGATTTCCAGCACTCGGCCGATTTCCGTTGCTGCTGCTGATTTTGCTGATGCTGCTGATGCTGTTGGTGGGTAGTGAGGGATTGGGGGCGTGGCTGGCGCAGCTGCACACCATCGAGCATCAGTTCGCCACCCACTGGCAGCAGTGGTGGTGACCCCGATGCGCTCTTGTTGTGGCTCAGCGGTTGGGGGGCGTGCCAGCTGCCTGACCCACCGGTGGTTGCTGTGGCTGTGGTTGCTGCAGATGGCGATTCTGCCAGGCGGAATCGTTGCCCACTGAGAGGCTGCGCTGTCGCGTTTCGAGGCAATGATCCTGGTACTGATTGATGGCGATGAGTTAACCAAAAATAAAAGGAAACGAAATTAAATTATAATAAAGAAAACCATAAAGTATGTATGGCGAACGCATGTGGTAAGCAACAAAAGTGTATAACAAAAACAAAAGACGACATTTTTTTTGGGGAGGGTGGATTCACTTTGCAACTGCTGCCAGGCCAAAGATCAATTATGCTATTTCCTATTCCTGCTTTTCAGATTCATTTAATTGCCTGCCAAGTCCTTAATTGCCTTAATTGATTAATTCTTGTATCTTTCGATAAAAAATAAATGTTTTTGTTGCAGCCTAACATTATTAAAATTTTATGTTTGGAAAAAATTTATCATGAGACTTAAGCAAAAAGTTTAATAAATTGGTTTATTCGACAACTAAAGATAAACTTTTTTTTTAACTAACTTTTTTAGTGCATAATTTTTATTTCAATTTACTTTCATATAAGCAGGAGCATTCCATTATACTATTAACTATCTAGTCTTTTAATTTTGACCATCTATTATTTTGTAGAAACTTTTATTAATACGAAATTAATAACATTCTTCATGCATAGTTGTACTTGTGTTAGGCTGGCAGCAGTTTTAGTTTGGATTAATATTTGATTGGTTTGTGGATTTGTTTTTGCCATGATTTCGTTTGTTACCTTGTGCCTACCTTTTGTTTGCGCGCCCTTCGCAACATCTTGACCCGCTGGGTGGCCTGCTTCATGTAGATGTCCTGCTGCCTGATTTGGTGGTGGTGATTTTGGTGGTTCTGGTGATGATTCTGGCGGTGGGAGGGGCAGTCGACCTGGTCGCTCTCCGGCTTGCAGCACTTGAGATTCAGCATATTCTCGTAGGTATTGTGACCATTGTCCGGTGTGTTCTGCTCCGTGCAGCACTGCTCCGCCCGGGAATTGCTCTTCTGGTGGTATCTGGTGGCCGAGGCCTGATGGTGATGGCTCCTTCCTCCGGTCTTGGCCCCACTTCCGCTGGCCTGTTCACCGGCCGGAGCCTTCTCAGCGTCCTTCTCCTTCTCACTGTTGCTGTCATCGTCCTCGTCATCGGACTTAATCAGTTTGCGCGGTCGATAGCGATGCTGGCGGCGGTTGCCGGCGGATGTCGTTAGCGCCGTGCCACCGGAGGATATGACTCCCACTCCCCCAACCAATGGTTTCGACATGGCCGTGGCCAGGCCCGTGGGCAACTTCTTCAGCTTGCTGGCATGACTGCTGCTGCTGTTGTTGAATCCAGCGGCGGCGGGCAGGGTAACGGGCATTGGCACAGGAACCACCGGCTGTGACTGCGACTGCGACTGCGATTTCGATTTGCCCTCGGGACTGACGGTGAGCCGCACGTTGATTGTCTTGCTGCCGCAGTGGGGCACCACCACCGACTTGCCAATGGACTCGTATATGGTGTACACAATGCCCACGATGTCGTCCTTTGTTATCTTGCCATGGTGGCCGTCCAGATCGTAGAACGTGAACGAGAACTGCAGCGGCTGCGATGACTTGCCACCCTCCACGGACACGTCGCAGGTGAACTCCTGTTTTCGAATGCAAAACAAAACAAATGAGTCGATGGCTTCAGACTGAATTTGATTTAAATCAAGTGTGCGAGTAAACATTCTTCGGTAATTGAATTTTCCCAAGGGTTCTCCTAACAACTGCATTAATTAAAGGTATTTGCTTTAATAGTTGAAATATGTTTTGCTAACCAACAAAACAAGTTTAATTACTCTTTAGTAAATCTTTAATTGATTGTTGTTTATTCCGATTATTTACAGAAATATTCTTTGATAGAATTTGATTTAGTGAGAGAAATTTAAATATTTAAAGGAAAGAGCTATAACAAAGCTTTGATTCAAATTTAAAGCAAGTATTAAATTATTTTGTTGAGGTCTTTAAAACATAACAGGAAAAATGTGCTAGCTCATTGTTGTTCAAAGCTAAACATTTCAAATTCCACTTTAATTACCTAAACAAATTGCTGCTCTGTTTAGTGGGCTTAAGAATAAACTTTTAATGTGTTATAAATTACCATGGCAACAAATTTAGACTCCCCTCCAACACCTCACACAAATAAATACCTTTTTCATTCAGAATTTCGCACAAACTCTACCCTCGAATGTGTGCCAAAACTTTTGCCCAACAAATTTTAACAACTACATAAGCCTGATGCAGAGGCAAACTAACTAAAAATAAACAAAAAATTCTGCTAATAAACTTTGCCGCATAAAAATTGCACAGCAAATTTATACTCGACCTAAAAGTATGCAACAATGTTTTGCAGATGCAACATGTTTTCGGTTTGGGGGCATCCCAAATTGAGATGCTGATGCTAAATGGCAAAAAAGGAGCAGAAACTAAAGCCACAGCCAGCTGCCACTAAAAACAAACAATCGAGAGCATGCCGAGACCACTAAAACCAGTCGAAAATTGTGGCCATAATTTGACTAAATATTTAATTTTCGCCTGCAGAAGCAGCCACGTCAACATCACAGGGGGCAAAACATGGTATGGGGGGCGAGGAAAACCATTACCATTGATAAAGTGCCAGAGCCCAGCATCCACATCCACATCCACTCTGCTGCCCCTCAGTCGCATACAAATAAATATAATTTCCTTTGCCGGGGCTGCCTTTGCTGCTACTTGGCTTGTAGATTTTTAATTGCCCCTGAGTGCTTTTCGTGTTTGTTGTTTTGCTTTTAATGGTTTTTATTGAATTTTAATGTTTTGATATTTTTTGGCGAAACGGGCACAAGTAGAAACAGCAAACCGAGACAGCGTCCGAAACAGAGAATGTTCGTCCGCAGTGGGTGGTAATGGAAAATTGCCGGCGCCCTTGTGTTAATGAAATATTTGTTCCCTCTTTTTTTTCGATTTTATTTTCGTGGACGGGGATGGTTAGTTGGTTTGGAACAACAAATGAAGCCGAATCTGAGGCCATCGCGGTGAGCGAGCAGCCATTGAAATTTTAATTAAAAGCACATTGAAATGTTGAGTTTATGGTCGATGTGCGATGTGCCCAGTGGGTCATGAATTATGGCCAGGAATCGTGGCTAACAGGGGGCGGCTAGCACGGTAATAACAGCCAGCCAGCCAGCCAGCCAGTTGAGTTGATTAAGCTTGACCAAAACACCTGGCTGGGGGTCAGAAAAATCCCACAAATGGAAAACCAAACATCATTTAATTTATCACCTTGTATTTATAAGCAAAGCGATTGTTTGGCTAATTGAAAGGAATCGGGTATACAGGCTATGAATGCTCTAGACAAAAATAAAAAGTAAACAAATATGCTGAACTTAAAATTTAATTACAAATTTACTATTCATAATAAATTTTTAGATATAAAAATCAATTCTTAAAAATCTCATATTTAAAATAACCAAAAATCGCAATTGATAAATATCAAATGGAAAAATGTTTAAATTGAGCACAAAATATTTGGATTTACTACAATTTTTTGGATAAGTGTATGAAATCCAAATAAAATGATCTAATATTTTATTTGCTTTTAGTACAGCCCCAAATGCAATTAAACTGAAAATGTTTTAATTTAATTAGTTTTCAATTTGCCCTAAATGTGTTTAACATTGCTTTTGGTTTCAGAACATCTATTAATAACATTAAACTGCAAACTTCACTCAAACTGCGAACAACCCCTTGAAAGTGCAGAGCAATTAATGGCTCCATAAATATTTGTGTTATGAAACGATGAAAACAAGTCAAATCAAATCCATAAATTCATTAATAAATGAATGCAAATTGAAATCGGAATGGCCTATTAAAACGAATGTTTATGGGGGATTGGAAGTGGAATTGGAATTGGAAGATGGAATTTGATTCTCCTCACTTGCTAGTGGGATAATTCATAAAGTACCGACTGGCAGGGAACAATGGTAATTTGGGGAATTTGTGAAATTTGGGTAATAATTCACTCACCTCCAGCCGGATGCGCTCCTCCTTGTGATGGTGCAGGTGGCGGGAGTGGGCGTGGTTGCCGTGTGGCTGCTGCATGGAGGCTGCCGCATCCACCACATCCTCGTCCTGCGCCAGATGGTGCTGCATATTCGAGTATTTGCCGTGCTTGCCGTTGGAGGTGCTGCTGATGCGCAGATGTTTGCTGTGGCTGCCACCGCTGCTCATGTCCTGCGGATGTCCGGCCTGCAAAGGATTGGGATTGTGCCGCGTGGTGTGGTGATGGTTGGCACTTGTCTGATGGTGATGCGATGACGATTGATGATGCTTGCTGGCCGCACTGGAGGCATTGCCCGGCGGCGTGGTGATTATATTCACCACCGGCGATCGCAGTTGGATATTGTTGTCACGTTCACTGACCAGCAGCAAATCGGGCGGCGCACTGCAGGAGGAGGAGGCCCGCACCTGGTGGTACATCAGCTCCTCGGAGTCTGTGGTGCATTCCTGGACTGCAATGACAGGAAGGGTGGCGTACTTTTAATTAAAATGCAAAGTGGCATGAAATTGGCGGTATAAAAAAAACATGGCCGAGCCCTGGCCATCGCCATCGCCCCTTTGGTCATCTAATCCCCTGGCTTTTGTCGGCTTCTCTGTGCACTGTGGCAAAGTGTCGCCCATATTTTTCAAATTAAAACAAGTAGCTCTCATTTGTAACACACTTAAATTGCATGTCAATGAAATGTTTTCTTCTTCTGTAAAGCATTTTATGTCTTAGAACAAAGTACCATTTCGAACAACTTGTATTGCAACGAATACTTCATTTAAATTAAATTTGTAAAATAATAATTTAGCTAAAAAATAATTATAAATAATTAAATTTAATTCAACATAATAATTTAGGAAATAAAACACTCCTTAATCTTATTTAAGAAGTTAAATTAAAAACTTGTTCCAATTTTATAATAAACCAATCAAATTGTAACTATGACAATTTATTTTTGACAGTATAATTAAATTGTCCGCATTATTTCTTTCTCTGTGCGCCTTTCGCTGGCGTCTTGCAATTTATTTGCAATTTGCAATTTGCACAAAGCGCATTACAACAGCACAAAAAGTTTATGCCTCAACGCCAACACAAAGCGATGGCGACCAGGCGGCCAATGCCGATCTCTTTGAATCCCCTCGAGAAACTTGAAAGGCGACTGCTCGGAGAGCATTCCTAATTAATGACGTCGTCGTCGTCGTCGGCTGCGGCGGCGGCACTCCAAGTTTTCTTTTCTTTTCGGCATTGGCTTTTTTGTTTTTTGTGTTTGGCTGGCTTCGGTTTTGTTTCCTTCATTTTAAATTGAAATGGCTGCAGTGTTATCTGGGCGGCTGTGGCCACATCGAGCACTGAAAGCTGAGCCGGCAGATGAGCAGTCTACGGTCTGCGGTCGCCTTTGGTCCATTCATTACTCATTACTCATACGACGCGTGAACCGCACCAAAGCAATGCGAATTCGACTGCAGCGACTGCGACTGTTTGATGTTTAGTTATAGTGCGAAAACGGAATGTGTAATTTAAATATTTGACGTGTTTTAGTTATTTACAAAGAATTTATAGAAATTATTTTGATTAACTTCACAGGCAGTGTACGAAATACATGTTGCTTTCATTGTCTAATTTAATTTGATCTTTAAAATACTGAAAAATGTCTTATTGACTGATGGTCGAGTAAATCATTTGCTAAATATGTTTTCGATAAAAGGCCTATTAAGGCCTAATATATATTAATCTATCTGACAACAAAGCTCAATTGTTTGCTTCATAGAAATCACCATTTGGTGTTTTGGGAAATTGTTTGCCTACTTAGATTCTTATGTAACCTATATCCTTTTGGAAAAATATGCCTAATAATTAACTAATAATGTCCTTTGTTGAAATTTCATCCCCTTTCTTACCTTTTATACCCTTTATCTTAGAAATTCCCATTTTTCTAACTGCACAAAGAAAATAATTTAAGAAGAAAAACACCCTGGTGCAGCATAATCCCACTTGACACATAAATCCCATTCGCACTATCCTCATTCGGAGCATTTTTCTCTGCAGTAGTTCACTCGAGTAACTCCGCTCTAAGTTCTTTTGCCGCACTATCCATTCCGGGTGCCATTGTATCTGCTTCATTTTAATTAATTAGCGCGCTAAAAAAAACGAAGGGAGGAAAAACGAAGGAAAATTTCTACTTCTCGCCTGCTGACCCAAATTTGCGGTTTAGCCTGCTTTCTACGCGCGTTATTCCATTTCTCATTTCTCATTTTTCATTTCGCTTTTCATTTTTCATTTGCGGGAGCCACGTCCTTGCCAAGGACCCCGCCCATTTGAGCTGAGCCCAGGACATGGCTTTTAATTGCATGAACATTATGCAAGCAAAGCAGTCCCAAGTCTCCATTTTGTATACATTGTTGGTTGCCTGTTCATTTCCCTTTGCCTCTGTTGCTATTCCCCCAGCAGGAGTGGAGATTGCGAAAAGAGTTGCTGAGGTGGCGACAATTGAAGACAATTAGCCAAAGTGAAGGGGAAATGAGCTAGTCGTTGAGTCCTGCCAAGTACTGGAATTGTTTACACTGCAGTGTAGGTGGCCAAATTAGTGAAAGTAATGGAGGGAGTACGGGAGCTGACCCAGTTGACAATAAAATTGTAGGCCGTCTGCCAGGAAGTCTAGCCAAAAAACAATAGGTTGAGATATTGAAAAGTTTGAAAAAAATTCATTCTGGTCTGAGTACCAGAAACGTTAGCTTATAGTTTTTAATATTTCTTAAACGATACAAATAAATTTAATTAAGTTAACCTACAACTCAATAAAATGATATGCTTACTTTTTTAATGAAAATTTTCATTTTCCCCAGCCATCAAATTAATTCAAAATCAAAAGTTGTCAAATGCCACATGCTTTCTAAGCGCTCAACAAATTTTTTTGTAAATTCGTGTTTTATTACGGACAATTTATAACGTTTTCATCCAATTTATGCGCATTTTTGATTTGCACTATAAAGCCCAGCCACAAGCACACTAATTAATTATGCAAATCTCAGCTGGACAACTTTTATCTACAGCATCAGCGGCACCAGTGACTTGATAACACAAAAATTACACAGCATAAAAAATCCGAGATAAACGTATGGACATGCATATGTTAATGAACATTATCTAAACTGGGTCTAAGAAGTCGGTCCCACGTCTGAGTTCCAATGGAAGAGACATCAAGGGAACTTGGCACGCATTACTCATCCGCCACGTGGGCTGCATTCGATTTGGTTGTTTTTTTCTTTATGATAGATAAGCCGCAGGCCGTGACGTTCCATTAATCATAAAAAATTCATGAGACTTCGGCCGCCCATTTCGACACATGTGACCTCACCTCTCAGGTAACTCAAGGCCCTTAAGGCCAAGCCCTTAGTCTCTTCAAAAAATATCTGAGAGATTGAAGTGGTCCATGCTGCCAAAGCTAATCATTTTCATTTCGACTGCCCTACGCACACATTACGCAAATGCACAAATTCAATTCAGTATACCCGCAGGCTAAGGCCCAAAATTGGAGCCTCGAGGTGAGGTTTCTTGGGCTCCCCAGATTTCTCAGGGCGGGGCCCACCGCAGCTCAAAGTCAAGTTGACGGCTAGAGCTTTCACTCACTTTTAATGAAGGGTTTTCTTCTTGTTCACCTTCAAGATTTAATCTGTAGTTACAAATGTTTATGTAATACGACAGAGAATTTACTTAAATTAAAAATTAAACAGAATTTTTCAAAAAAATAAAAATGAATAAAATATTTAAGTAACACAGAATATTCCAAAGATTGTCTTTCATAAAAATTACTTTATTTTTCTTGAGAATTTGCTTTTGTTTTAATTTAAGGCAAAAAAATATTATGTCGTATTTAAAAGATTATAAATTATTACAAACAAAAAATTGCATTTTGTTCAGTCTGATTTTTACACTCTTTATATTAAAGGGCTTTAAAATTATATGGCAAAGTTAACGATTTATGCAAATTATTTAGTATCCGAAGATAAGCTATTCGAAAGGTTTAAGACTTTTACATCCATCCAATATTCGATAGTGCCTCCCATGCAACAGAAATACTTCAAATAAACAATTCTCAAGATACATGATACTGTAAATTCCCATTGTAGGTCATCGGCAAGTCACGTATGCGTATGCCTTTGGCCCCCGGGCATTCGCCATTCAATTTGCGCCTATATCTGTTTGGAGTGGCTTAGGCCAAAGTTAATTTGCAAGGCGGCATGTTTCATATCAGACGCCAAAATGCTTTCTTGATGACTCAACAACAACAACGACAACAACAGCAACAGCAAGTTGATTCCCATTGTGTCGGCCACTTGAGAGCAAAACATGTTCTTTTGGTTTATCTTGGCGCCACGATCGTCGGCAAAGGCCGCGGTATTTGCTCACAAAAAAAAACAACAAAAATAAAAAGACGCTGAAAAAACTGAAAGAAATACAAAGGCGATAATTAAACGCAAAACAAAGCGGCCGAGAACAGAAAAAAAAATCGGAAAGTCAAAGATCCCAGTCACATCAAGCGGTGGACTTTTAATTAGAAAAGGTGTACAAGCCAAGTAACGAGAAACAAACAAACAAACTCCAAGAAAATTAAACTAAGATAATCCGAGAAACCACATTAGAATGTAGAGAGATACAGATTGTTAATAAAAACCGAATTGAAAACTTAATTAAGTTTGTTCTTAAATCTTTTTAAACATGACATGATATTAAGACATATTCAAAAGAGATTATTATTTCAGACAACAGACAACACATACATTTATTCATTTTATGTTTAATAAACTAAAATATTTGTCTTTTTGAAAAACCACATCATAAACTTAAAGTCCAAGTCCAAGAGCCGCTTGGCAACACTAGCTTTTAGGCAGATGATGTGCCAACATGGCCAGGCCAAAAGTGTTCGTTAAAGAAAAGAGATATAAACCAAAGATAAAACTTCATAATTGCGTCTGTGTGGCTGAGCAGAAAACCAAGGGAAAAAGCAGTCGAATTAACGAAAAACAAAAAGTGGCTGCTCCGAGTAGTTGTGGCCAGATATCTCGTATCTGGCATGTAAGTGTTAATGAAGTTAAGTGTTTTTGACGCGAACGACCGGCAATAACCAAAGCAACAAACAATTAATGAGAAGTCGCATACCATCGAGCCAAGCGAGTGGCGAGAAAAAAATGTTCGGCCCTCTATGATAAAGATCAACAAATGCCAAAAAAAAAGAAGAAAAAAGAATACCCAGAAACAAGGGAAAAAATGTGGGCATCCGGGGATAGAAAAAACTATCCAGTGAAGCAGACCAGATAATGTTTAACACATGCCAAAAAAAATGGCTAAGCTGGGGAATTTTACATAAGCAAAAAACCTTGCTTAAGTAGTTTCTATTATAAGCAAGAACGAAAATATTGTAAAAATATTTTATTTAAATTTTTCAGGCATTTAATTCCTATATAAATA